AACAACATCAATGCAAAAGACTTTTAATAAGGCTATAATTATGTTTATATATAGATTATACGTATGACATTTTTTTTTAAATATTTTCATGTAATTGCATGAAAAAAAATATAAATAACAAGCAATTGTTGCCGCATTCGCATTTGCAATATATGTATCTGTCATTGCAGATACATATTCAGAAAATCGTAATATGCGTGTTTTAAACTTGTGTGATTCAGGTAGAACATCTTACTGAAATATTGTTGCTGTGAAGTTGCAACACAGGCAAAACAACAACTCTGGTAATAGAGTAACTTTTTAACAAATATTTTTTATTAAAAGAATTTTTTATTAAAAGATCATCTTTGCAATATTTTTGAGACTTGCTTTTTTGAAAATTCTAACTTCCACGATAAATTATATCCCAGTGGAGAATTCTGTTCTGTACTTTGAGCAGCATAATTGTCTATAAACATTACTGTCTGTACTATTCATCACTGTAAAAAATGGGACATTTATTTACCTTGCTAATTCTGTCGATGGCAATTGTGAGCTTTGGAATTAAATTGAATTTTGTTCATAAATGGAAATATTGTGAATATGAATGGGAAAATCAGCAGCAAAAAGAAGACGCTATAAATTCTGACACTTATAATCCTCGAAGGTGCGTGTTCGCCGGAGCACTTAAAGCGGAAGGTAAATTGATAGGAAACTATTAGAAAAAATTGTAATAATTGTACAAAACATTTTTATTATATTATGCGATAGCTTATGGTTATATTATTTAATTATATGAACACATTATAGAGCTATACGTTTTATTATATTATATATAGATATTATATATATATATAGATAGTATATATGTATATGTATGCATATATACTCCAACGTTGTTAATGCAACAGATAGCATTAATGTCATGAAATTCAAGAAATAAATATTCTTTAGTAACACATAATTGCTGTTTATAAACAAAATTCTTATAGATGGTAGAGTATTCATCACTAATCCGAGAATATATGGTCCTGGATCACCTGCTACTTTGTCAATAGTAACGAATAAAACAGGACCAGGTGGTCCACTTTTACGTCCGTATCCAGATTGGAGTTGGCATAATAGTAATTGTACATGTGATGGTATTATAAATGTTTACTATACGCATGTAAGTATTAATATTTTTTGTTCAAACGGGTTATTAACAAATCTAATGTTCATATATAACAATATATATGATAATATAATATAATATAATATAGTATAATATAATATAATATTATAATAATACATATTACATATCTATATTATATATTGTACATTATGTATATATATAATATTAATTAACAATCAACAGTCTATTATATATTAAACATACCTATATACACACTCAATAGTCAGCTTGATAATCGTACGTGAAACAGAATTTTTATTTTCATGCAATCAGATTCGATGCAACCACATCTTTGTTTTGGATAACGGCCAAATCGGAGAAACTAATAAACAAATTTGTAATCCAAAACTATTGATCTTCGATTTAAAAAATGATATGCTGGTTAAAACTATTTATATCCCACTTGATATTGCTACTAACAAAACGGGCTCTGGATTATTAGTAGATGTTTTTGTTTATGTTCCAAATGAGAAATGCACGCACTTTCTGGATAAAATGATTGTTAGTATGTTTTTTATTTTAATCACAGTAGTACATATTTGTATGCAAATGTTATTTAGTTACACGTTTAACATCTCTCATATTTTGCGTATTTAAGCGTATTATAAACATGTGAATACACACAGGTATTTATGGCTGATTCAAAAGGTTCCGGCATAGTGATATATGACTCATCCAGAAAGCATATGTGCAGAGTCGAATCTGATTACATGAAGCCCACTAATACTACTTTCCTCGTAGACGGTGACATTGTTACTTATGTAGGCGGTATCTACAGTATGACAATTATGAGCGATGGCAAGTATTCGACTTTTAATATAATGAGTATTATTTCAATTGTAAAATTGAATCTTATCATCGGATATTAAAATTTTTACTTTTATATTAGACTGACACTTACATCATTTCCATCCGTAATTTCCTTTTTTTGTTTTATATTCATATACATTTATGCTGTGCGCGATAACAATCCATATTACACTTCGTTGCAAATAATCAAAAGCATTTTGTTGTGATGTTTATAATCTTTTTTGTCTAAACATTTTAGAATTTTATTACGCTTCTATATCGGGAAAAGAAATATATAAAATTAAAATAAAGACGCTAATGGAATGTCCAAATAAAGAAGAGGCTAATAAACAAACTAAACTCGTTAAAAAATTATCAAACCAAACAGTAAAACTCTCATCAACATGTCATTATATATTTTACACTGATTACGGAACAAATTCTGTTCTAGGCACAAACACTTGTACGAAATCTGCTAACAACACGGTAAAACATCTAAATGCAATTATTCTTCACATATCACTAAAAAATAATTTTTAATTCTCTTAAGAATATAACTATGATTAATAAAATATCATATTTAATGGTTATTGGTATAATTTTGTGGCTGTAAAATAAAATTGTATAATAATTTTAAGGTGGTACTCGCGCAAGACGATGAAAAATTGCAAGTTGTAACTCAAACAGATATTTCAACTTACTGGGGTCAGCTAACAGGCCTATCAGATAGATTTCAGAAATACGCACTGCAGACATATAATCTAAGTGACATAAACTTCCGCTATTTTGAAATGGATTTAGATGAAATATTTAAGAAAATTGATTAATTAACTTTTTTCATATTTTAACATATTTTAATAAGTATCTTAATATCATTCAAAAATATTTTAATAAATATTCTTAATATAATTCTTGCGTCAAGCACTTTGAACACACATACATGTGTATATCATTCGGTTTAATTAATAAAGAAAAGTTAGAGTAAACAGATGTTTTTTTTGTCTGACTTTATATGCCTACAAAGATAATAAATACTATATTTTCTGTTCTTGATGCCTCCATTGATAAGATAATTTTTTATATGTGTGCAGAACAATATTATTCTGCACATGTAATAAGTGCATGTCATTATCTACAAAAGTTATACCAATGCCGATTTGGATAATCTTTAACAAGGTTACAATTATAATGAAGGTTTTTGAAATCATTATCGTGTATATTGCATCGAAAAAAGGTATAACAACATAGTCGCGTTTACAATATTCATTTCTGGAGATACGGTTCAGTTATATTATTTTATTGTTGTAATTCAAAAAGATGAAACAGATCTAATAAAAAAGACGCACGCATCTTCAAAAATCTTGTTAATGCAATTTACTGCATTGCACAAGCAAATACTATCTATTGAAAAAAAAACTTTAACCACTTTTACTTTCACGCAATTTATATATACCTACTTTCAAAAAAGTGTTAACTCTCTAAAACTTTTAGAGTGAATTATCTGAAGAGTGAAATTTTACTTTTGAAGATTAAAAATTAAGCCACTCTTTTTCAAGACTGGTTTAATTTTCACTCTTTAGAGTGAGATTCCACTGCAAAGAGTTTAGAAAGAAACACAACTCATTGCATTAAACGAAATAAATTCGTTGTAAAAACAAAAGTGGACATTGGGACATGACATAGCAAAATGAATTTTAATAATAAAAATCTATTAATATTAAAAACAAACTAATCACATCAAGATCGTTTTCCTGAAAGACCTTAATGCGTGTCGTGAATTTGTAAAATTTAGGCAGTATTTTATTGAAATATCTTCGCTGTGACTACATCTGAAGTATTGTATCGCAGAAAGGTAAAACAACGACTCTGTTAATATAATAAGCAACTTTTCAATAAATAATTTTGATTAAAAGAACACCTATACAAAAGTTCTCTGGAGATCTGAAGTTTCAATTCCCAAGACGAACTAATATCTTGGAGGAGAATTCCGTTTTGTAGTAATTTGAGTGGTACAGCAGTATTGTCTATGAACTTCGCCACAATAAAAAATGATAAATTTATTTGCCTTCCTAATTCTATCGATAATGATAGTAAGCTTCGGAATTAAAGTTAATATTGCATATGAATTTTTACACATTTTTATATAATATATTTTACTATCATATATCAAATTCATAGTCGTAATTGCAATGTAAATTAATAAAAAGGTCATAATATAACGAGCAATGTTGTGGGTCAATAATATTAAGATTGATTTATTACAATATAGAAATACAATAAGAAAACGAAATCTAATTTATTGAAAAAGCGAATATCGTAGATCGTTTAACTTTTACTTACAATTAGTCAACCTCAGCTAAACAAATAAAATCAATAATATAATAAATAAAAGCACAAAAAATAAAACATTAGAAAAAGTCGTCAGTATAAAGTTAACATGAAGCTACATCAAAGATTGAACATGAAAACAATTCAAATCTAGTCGTAGTATAAAATTAAGCAATTCAAGAGAACTCAAACACTCTTCACAAACGTCATTCTAAGTAGAGATATAGTCAAACAGATAAAATTGATGTCATACCCATTTCGTTCAAAGGAAGAGTATAGTCGAGAGGATAAGAATTATTCATGAGTCAAATTCATCAGAATCGTAACATAATATCTGAATATTTAATTCTAATAGATGTGATATCAAAAACAAGAAGTAACTGAATAATATACATATCCGGTATAACAAATCCGTTCATCTTATCCGTACTTCATATTGTATAAAAGTAAACGAATAAATAAACCATTTGTGTATCATTTTTTATTAAAGATGTTCAGAATGTATTATCAAGTCGTATATAATTTTATTCTTTTATAATGTCTTTTAAATATACAAATGAAATGAGTATCCTGGGCGAAAAAAGTTCCCACATAAAATATTGACAACCCTTACGTAAACGTAGATAAAGCAAGATGAGAGTTGAGCATAATATGTTCTACTGATTTTACGAGGCAGGGAAGGGAAAAGGAGATGAAGTCGCAAACAGAAAGAAAGAGCAAAGAGTAGATCGTGCTCTTCTACATTCTTCGCGAAGGATTCATGAATCATGGCACCGGGTAGGAGGTAAAACTCCTCATCCGTTATCAGCTTGACAATAAAACTCATGCCCCCTTCTAATAGGCACGACACCCTACCGTCCCATCTTCTTCGATCCTTTCGCAACCCAGATTCGCCCGGCGTTCACCACAGTCGACGAAAGAAAAGTCCGATTCATGTTAGATAGTAACAACTTCAGTCTGAGATATCTTTGTACCTGTCCGATTGAGTTCTCCGCGAGTCTTCCTTTTTCATTATATATACGATGTATTCGCTTGAATTTGCTGGGAAACTCAAAACTTTATTTTTCTATAAAAAGATTTTATTTTAGAGATTCAGAGATAAAGTTTCGTTACATGTTAAATATATTTATGTAACAATCAAACTTTGTTATTTTATTATTCTTTTTTTATTTCAAATATAATACATTTTTGGGTGTGAAGCTCTTTTTGAAAAATATGCAATACCTATACTTAATTTTCAAAATAAACTGCTTTAATTATATATAATTTCAAATTAAATACATTTATTAATCCCTTAATTCTAAGTCAATTTAGAATCGGTCAACATTAACCAATAAATACACGCGAATTCCTATCAAAACAAAACCTTCACACACGAAAGAAAATAATTGAATATAAATAAAATTATACATATATGTCTTTTTAATCTTATTCATATTTTCTTTTTAATTTACATAATGATTTTATTTAAACAACTATTCTTCTGTCCTTAATAAATTATTAATAATTAATGCTAAAATTAAAAACTTTAAATCAACAGATTAATAAACTCGTTTATTTAAAATGTTTATTTAAAATGTTAATTTATATTAAAAGTTTAAATAATTTATTAAAAATCATCTAAATCGCATTTGTGACTCTGCACATTCTATGCACCTATCAACACAAAGTTGTTAAATATATCAACCCAACATCATTTCTAAACGATTATATAGAACATGGATTAAGTTACATGCAATTTCAAGCACGAATGATCAGTTTGAATCGAGTACAGTAAAAAAATCGCCAATCTTTCATACCATTCTTCCTTGTTATCGTCGCAGATCCAATAATCCAATTAAAAGTGGCGGTCATATCATTCGCAGGGCTCATCGGTGTCGTATTCGTCGACTTCTCTATTGCAAATGACATAATTTAAACGATCCGTGAGATATAACAAAAGTGAACAATATTTCAGAGAATTCTCCTATTCGCTTTCAGTGACATGCATTAACGTATCAGTGATGCAGTTCATTAATTTCTTCCCGATCACCTCCCAACTCTCATCCTGTACTCACGTAGAGAGATTATCCGATGATCTGAAGGGAATACAGAATCGAACAGAGAATTTGATTTGAGAAAGCAAATGGCAATGCAAATACAATTAATTCGATCATCGATTGTGTGATCCTGTATTTTATTTATCCTCTTGTTAGCCAATATCAATTTACTTATAATAATCTTAAAAGAGAAATAATTGTAGCCAAATAAAAGAAAAAGAGGAAGGGAAAGCAATTTTTATTATTATCAAATATAAAAGGTAGCTGTCTCAAAATCTATCTAGAAAGCTGTCTAAAAATAAATTATTTGATATAAAAAGTAAAATAAATTGCACAAAGTTATAGAAACAGAATTCTTTATATACATTCTTTATATCGTGTGTAGGAATATATATAAAACTAGTATTATTACTAAAACATGGAAAGTAAAGAAGTAAATGCAGAACGTATCGACTGCTTTTATTTTACTGCGAAGTATAATAATATTGAATCTTTATTACATTCGTTTACATGCAGTCGATTCTATGGAAAGAACGGTTTTGCTGAAATAGCTATAAATTTAACTGGACACAGATCTGAAAATAACTTTATTGGATTATCAAAATAATTATATATAGATAGGAGTCTCAAGCATGAACAATGCTGAAAAAATTTTTTACATTTAAGCAACCAATTTGAGCGTCCTATATAATTATTTTTATGACTCAACGAAGTTATTTTCAGATCTGTGTGTAGTTAAATTTGTAGGTATGTCAGCAAAATACTCGTATATATCAGTTCTTTTTGTGTATTAAATAAATCGTAATTTTATAGAAACATCGATTAATCTTTTTCGTTGTAATATATATACGCCATCCTGGACTTATTCCATTTTCTCTAGTCTTCCACCTATCTATTTACT